CAGGGTTCAATCAGAAGTGCTGCACCAACCATCTCTCCCAGGATGAGCACCTCAGACACAAGGCTGCCAGGAGAGGAGATCCCCGAATTAGCACGGCAGAAGGGACTGAGATATCCCTGGAAATGTGGAGGTCAGGCTCAGTTCTCCACAGCACTCTTTAACACGGGTTTGATATTCTGTGGCTGCATGTATGAAATAAGGGAGGATAAAAAGTGGGAACCAAAGCAGAAGAGAGCTCTCTGCAGAGCAGTGTTTGGAAGGACACTTGTCAGAGTTCCCTGCTCGGCTCCAGCACCCAGGAACAACCAGGGAAACACCGAATCCAGGACTTCCTGTGCCCTTCTCTGGAGTTGTACTAAACGGGGCTGTCCTTGTTTCACCCGTACCCAGCATCCTTTTAACCAACTAAACACCGATTCATACTCCAGGGTAGTGGGAAAGGAACACACCCACGGACCCTTCTTGCAGGGGAATGTGTGGGGTTCCACCCCAGGGAGCCCAGGCCCTGGTACATCCACAGCCAGCATCCATTGGGAACCAGAGAGGGGGAAGGGTGGATGGGGTCTGAGAACTGCCATGGCTGTGACCAAAACATGCCAAACACTGATCTCCTGGGGGGTTCCTGACACATTTTGTGTTGCTAAGGGCTTACCAGTAAATGACAATCATCTGTTTAATAATTCAGTGTGATATTGTGCAGCACACACATCTGACTCCAGGCTGGAAGAAAGGAGCCAGTGATGCAGCTTCTGAGAGATCTTTAGCAGATTTAGAACTAAATACTGTGTACCATGATGTCTGAGCTGCTGTGGCTGGTCAGGCCTAGTCCCACCAGTGATCTGACAGTGTCTGCACTCTGAAAAGAGGGTGAAAACCCAAGTGGCAAAGTTTGCAAGTGATGTAATGTTGTTCAGTGTGGTCAAACTTACTATACAGAATTAACTAGAGGAGATCTCACAAGACTAAGAGTAGGCAACAGAGTCACAAAAGAAACAGTATTGCCAAATGCAAAGTAGTGCTTATAGAAAGAAATCTGTGATATCACACTGTGATAGTTCCCTGAGACCATCTAATCACTGCTCAGTGTCAGGCAAAAGGGCAAAGAGTATTAGGAATTATTAGAAGGGAATACAGAACAAAGCAGAGGATCTCATTATGTGAGATCCATGGCATACCTCCATCCTGAGTCCAATTTTAGTCCAAGCATCTTAAAATGGTCAAAGGAGAATTAGAAAAATAGAGAGAAGGCTGACAAGAAAAGTAAAATAGCATAACTGCACGGGGAGACAAACTAAACCAGAGCTGTGCAGCCTGCAAAAGAAATGACTCAGAGAGGACACACTAAAGGGCACCACAACCAGAACTATTAGCCAGCAGAACAGGGAATGGCTATTCATTATTTTCCATTGCACAAAAGCTGTGGGAACTGAAGTTAAAATGAGCAAGTTCTTCAGAAAAAAAACTTGCTCTCACAATGCAGCTGAAAACAAGGGGACAGTGTGGCAGTGCTGTAAGGAAACAGAACTGTGGGATGCAGAAACCTGGCTGCAAGACGTGGGATGGCACACTTGTGCTCCTCTGAGTGCTGCTGAGGGTTCAGGAGCAGTATTGTGCCCACACTGTGGCACTGCCCTTCAGACAAAACAAGCCTGGGTCACTTGGAGAAAGTGGAAGCAAGATAATTGTTGGAGATTTGGACAACATAACCTGTGAGGAGAAACTGCAATAATGGGGGAAGGGTGAAAGGAGAGTCAAGTATTTAAGTATGTTAAAGGTCCCTGAAGAAAAAAATGAATCCAGAAATAGTCCTTTCATCCTCTCTACAGAAGGCAAGAAACAATGGGCCAATTTTGAAGAACAGATTTGAGATGGACACAACGAAGTTCTAAAAATGATGAAGTAATGAAAGATTTTGACTGAAGAGGGTGCAGATGCTCCATAATGGGAAACATGTCCCATTCTGCTGGATGGATACAAGCACTGGTGCTTTAAGAACTCCAACAGGGCTGTCTGTACCTTCATGCTTTGTAGGGTCTGTGCCTGGGGCCTGTTTCCTCTCCCAGATGCACCAAGACTCCCCTCTGTCCTTTCACCCTGTGCAGTAAAATCCTGACACTCACTCCCATTTCCAAGAAGCCCTGGAATCTGCCACCTGTAACCTGAAACAATCCCAAACTGAGGACAATCAGAGTTTACAGAGGGATTACTTACACCACTGTTTGCTGCCAGCAGCAGGTACTTCAGACCCCTCTTTTCCTGGGGCTGCAGCCCCCTCATGTAGAACACTCCAAGATAAGCCTGTGCCTACAACAAAACCACACAGGGCACAGATCAGCCAGCTTTTTTCCCCTTAATTACTCCAGTTCCATTGCTGATTTTGCAAGTTGCTCAAATGCTGTGGCAAGACAAGTGTCCCAAGGACCCTGCTTGCTGCAGAGCCTGTTGGGAGAAGGAGGGCTGTCCTAGGAAAAATCAGCCTGACATGGTAAACACACAAAGAAATCCCATTTATCTATCAAGTCCACCACACACGCAGTTCTCATCACCATCCCAACACTGTAAAAGCCAGAACATCCTTTCAAACTGCACTGTGGGAGGCAGAGCCAGGGAATGGCTCCGACTCGTGAGCTGTCCATGAGATCCAGCAGATGCACTTCCTGGAACAGGGTGGCACAGGAGGCACAGGCACTGCCAGCATGACTGGCACTCCCAGCAGAAGATGGCACATGGGCCTAAATGCATCTCCTGGAGAGAGGGAAAGGAGGGCAGGGTACACAGATCCACAGGGATGAGTCACTGCCAAAGTCACAGCTACAAAATGAGGATCTGTTCTCACTTCAAGCATTTCGTGGAAGTTCCTCCAGCAAAGCAACACTTGGAATTGAGAGGAGATGGAACACTGAGCTATGTTTTCAACTGTAGGTCAGTTCTCTTAAGCCAGGGCTCTGAGCTAAGAGCCACATTAAAAACAGACACTCAGTGTGCTGATACAGCTGGTTCCCAGCTCCCATGTGCAGGCAGGGCTGTCTCCCAGACACTGTCAGGAATATAAATATATAATCAGAGAATCATAGAATGGTTTGGGTTAGATGAGATCTTAGAGATCACCTAGTTCCAGCCCCCCTGCTGTGAGCAGGGATAAACATGTTGGAAGAATTTTGCTTCTAGTCCCACAAACGATACTTTCTAGGATGTCCTGTGGCTCAAGTCCTTCAGTCAGGGTTCTCTGCTGGCTCTCTCCTGTGACCCCCCAGGCTGCAGACACTGACCTCTATGATCCCAGCCGTTGCTGCTCCCTCCAGGAACGTCAGGGCCCTCTGGAGCCTGTCCCACTGCTGGCCAGGGCTGTGCTGCAGGAGGTACCTCCCGTAACGGTACTGGGCCATGGGGTGGCAGCTGCTGGCAGCATGGCAGTAATAAAGAGCTGCCTGCAGAGAGAGAAACCCACCCGTGTGAGCCAGGTAATAGATGCCCTGGAACATGATGTGACCCCTCTCTGGACAGGTCAAGCTTAACCCCTGTTTAGATCCATCACAAGCTGCACATGGTTCCCCCCACAGCTCTCCCACTCTTCCCTGCTGAGGAACAGCAGCTTGGTTAAACCAGACAGGGGGCTGTGACTGCCCCAGAGCCCTGGAACCACCCTGCCTGCTCTACTCAAACCTCCCCAACTTGAAAGGGGTGGCACTGGGCCAACAATTACTCAAAAGAAGCTGCTTCTGCAGCTCTTCCCAGCTCCAGCAGCTGCTAGCTGCAGCCAGCCTGCACTAGGTGGCAGGCTGTAGTTACCATTCCCAAACTGGAGATTTAGGAAGCCCTCGGATGTGCAGTGGTGTCTTAAATACAGTAACATGACAGGTTTCTCCTTGGTGCCCTCCTGGGTGCTGGTGGCACAGCCTGTGCACCTGGAGAAGCCCTCAGAAGCTGTGGGAAAGGGGATCTCAGAGCACATCCCTGAGGGGATTGATGGCACTGAAGCCAGCTCTGCAAACCCACAATTTATATTATTTCCAGCAGTTTCTACGAAGTCTTCAGAGCCCGGGCACTGGAACAGGCTCCCCAGAGCAGTGGGCACAGCCCCAGGGCTGAGAGCTCAAGGAGTGTTTGGACAACGCTCTCAGGGCCAGGGTGGGATTGCTGGGGTGTCCGTGCAGGGCCAGGGGTTGGACTTGATCCTTGTGGGGTTCCTTCCAGCTCAGGATATTCCATGACTGTCGCACCCATTCAAAGGAAAAAGCTCCTGAGCACCCAACAGAGACCACTCCTGATCTGTGCTGCACACACACAACCCCACAAGCCATGGATACCTTTTCCAGGTCTTTTTCCGTGCCTCTGCCATGCTCATAGCACAGGCCCACGTTGAACTGGGCTTTGCTGTAGCCTCGATCAGCAGCCAGTTTGAAGCAGGTGAAGCCTGTCCTGCAGTGCCCTGCCCTCATGCTCTCGATGCCTGAGGAGAACACAACGTCACAACAGGGCAAACGCAACGGCCACAACTCAGCCCCGAAGGCAGCAACCTCCCCCTCAGCCACTGAGCCTTCCCTGGCTCGTGCCAAGGGCTCTGGGCCACTTCCAGCTGGCTCAAGAACCCTCACTCCACAGTTTCCACAAGAAAAACAGCAACACTGCATTTTAGGGATTTTTCCAGCCTCGTTCCAAAGAGGGATCACGGGCTAACACAGTGTATGGCTCACAGTGCTCGTCAGGGCTGCAACTAGTGCTGTATACAGGGACAGGGACTTAGATCACTGCATCTCCCCTCAGCCTTTCTTAGAGTTGCAATTCTGCAATTGCTTTTTCAGCTTGCCAGAAAGACCATGAGCTCATACAATAAAAAAAGGATACAAGGATGTGACATCTTGTGTTGCAAAAAAGACAGAGATGGCTTAATTTCCCACTACAGATGTCAGGACAAGAATGCAGGCTTCAACCAAGCCTGGACTGAAATATGCTGATATAAATCTGGTGGCAGGATGGGACATAGGGCAGTAAATCTCTAGGAGCACAGTTAAAATTGCTGAAAGGAGGCTTCAGCTTGGGTATATGCCATCTCTGCCTTCACACAAGACCTGCAATGCTTTGGAGGTCCTCCAAAATGAGAAACCTGTGGTTTAAGGGCAAAACAAACCCAAGTCCACATTACCGAGGATATTCAAGGCAATGGAAATATCAATCCGGAAAATCTGCTGCAATTGGAAAGCGGCTTCCTCTAAATGCCCTCGCTGAGCTGGGTCACCCTGAGGAGTCAAAGAAGAGGGCTGTTAAGGCAGCAAAATCATATCAACTCTACTGGAGATTCTTGCTTGGAAACAGAGCAGTGAGAGCCGTTTGTGCTGTATTACAGTTACCAGGGGGGTGATGTCATCTGGTGTCATGTGTCCACAAAAGACATCTCCCCGTCCTACACAGCCATCTACCTAGGGAAGCTGTATGGACACTGCTCACCTCCCCTCTGGCCAGGGAGCTTGGTGCAGCCTCGTGGACATCATCAGATCTTTCAGAATTCAGCAAATACCTGATACTACTTATTGCAGTCTGCAGCTTCCTCATGAGGGGCAGCTCCGATCTCTGCTCTGTGTGAGCAGGGATAGGATAGAGGGAACAGCTGGAGCTGTGCCAGGGCAGGATCAGGTTGGATCTCAGGCAAAGGTTCTTCCCCCAGAGGCTGGTTGGGCACTGACCAGGCTCCCCAGGGCAATGGGCACAGCCCCAAGGCTGCCAGAGCTCCAGGAGGGTTTGGACAGTGCTCTCAGGGACAGGGTGGGATTGTTGGGGTGTCTGTGCAGGGCCAGGTTTTGGACTCCATGATCCTTGCAGATCCCTTCCAACTCAGGACATTTATTCTGTGATTCTGTGATAACTTCCCCCTCCAAAATTAACCTTACCCCTTGTTCCCTCTCCCACACCATGCCCACAGCACAGTCCCTGCCAACACACACTCACATATCTGCCCGTGCTTTCCCCAGTTCCCGCCGAGCCCAGCCCTCCCGAACACTGCACAGGGATGAAACCCTGCCCAGCACAACGAACAGCGCGTTTCCCTCCCGCACGGCCCCGGGGGGCGGGAGGAGGCTCAGCCGGGCCCGTGGGTGGGCGTGCCGGGGGCGGGGCTGGGGGGCGGGGCCGACGGAGCGCGCGGGAAAAGTTGGCGCGCCGTGCCGGCACGCGCCGTGCGCTCCCGCCATCTCCGCCCCCCGCGCGCTTCGGCCCCGCGCGCGTGCAGGCGCCCTTCTCCCCCCCCCCGCCGCCATGTTGCCCAGACCGCGTCTTCCCCCCCGCCGCTTTTTTCCCCCTCCCGCCGTGCTCCTCCTTGTCGGGGATTTCGAATTGGAATTTTTATATTTTCGTGGTGATTCTTGGAGATTTTCATTGGAGCTCATCAACTGATGCTGTAGCACCATCAGAATCGATCTCCAGGCGATTGATGCCTCAGCAGCAGTTCTGTCTCCCCTCTCTTTCGCTCTCCAGATACTGTATCCAATTTTCTCCCAGTCTTTTAGAGACATGCTGTTGGAGACTGCTTCCCCTCCCTTTTCAAGGCATTTAGCGAGGGCTTTTGCAGATTTTTTGTCAAGGGGTGTCCGTTTTCCAAAATAAAGTCTTTAAGCTTGCGGTACACGAATTTTTGAGAGGTAGATAGTGAGAGGCCCATATTTTTGGAGTTACTTAGGCTTCTGTTAGTCTGTAGTTTGTGGGGTTTTTTTGTTTTTTTTTTTTTTAATTTTGTGAGGCTGGGAGATGGGATTAGGGGTTTTCCCGGTGCTCACCTTTTCTTGGTGCGGTGGCCGCCTTGCCGTGACTCCGGAGTTCAGCCGGGAAGGACCAGCGGGACGAAAACGCCTCTCTCCGCGTCCTCTGAGCCCTGGTGGCGTGTGGGAGGTGTTTTAAGATAAAAACCTCTACCTTCGCCCCACGTCGGGAGCCATATGCCGCGGTCCGAAAGGGGGAAGGGGGACGGAGCTGCTACACAGCAAGGATCACAAAGACCAAGAGGAGCTGCAGGTAGAATCCGGAGGGAAAGGGATGGGGGCTGTCTCCTGCCGCAGCTTCTGCAGCCCATCGGCGGAGAAACAGAAGAGCAGGGAGGTGAGCCGGCCGGGACGTGCCCGGAAGATACAAATTCTGGGGGAACACACAACGTGTACGTGCACAACAACTATAAAGTCCGAATCATAAAGTCCGTTCAATCGCTGTACATAATTTTCCATTTCCGGAATCGTTCCCATTCCGATTCCTGGTCCTCGACACCACAGGAATCCAGCCCTGTGCCTGCAGCTGGTTACAGAGCTCCTCCGGAAAGGCCCTGGCTTTGGTTTGAAGACACCAAAAGGTTGAGGATCTCCCCTTTCTTCTAAAAGTGTGTTCCACTAACTTGCAATTGCTGCTTCAAACCTCTGTGCTTCCTTTCAAATTAAAATACAACTGGTTTCTGCTCCCAGGCACTGACTCTTCTAGGTTTTTTTCTCCTCTTTACTAAAAAGCCAATTCCTCCTTTTGAAAGCCCTGACACGACTAATCAACCCCTCTTGATTCCTGTCTGTGATTCTAAACAGTCTGTGCAGTTCATGTCTTTTAACTGCAGTACTTTTCTGCCAGAGTTGATTAATTTTATGACTTTCTGCCACTATTCCTGAATTTTGAGCATTGTTACTGAAGTACAGACCCTCTTACTAGTGTCACAGGGGGACATGCAAATTCCTAGCTGCCTGGTTTGCACGGATCAGAACTGTGCTCCAATTCCCACTGGAACCCCATTGTGATGCCCAGGGCATCTCAGCTGAGGTTCCTGCCTCCCTACCTCCTTTCCCAGGTAATTTCTTCCCAGGGGATGCAGGGGATGATCAGACACGTTATCTGGCTGCATCAGATGCAGGCTCTGGTTATCACCCCCTATCCCCCCAGCTCAGGGCTCTATCAGTTCAGATACACTGGTACAACCTCGTGTCCAGCCACTGTCTGCCCAGTTTCAATCAGAATTATCTAACAGAGGCATCTCCAGCACAAGCTAAGCCACCTTGCTGGGCACAGAATTGTGCTGGCAGTGATTACACAGGCATTTACTCCAGCTCCTCTAAGAGGACAGTGACCTCCACACAGAGCTCGGGCAAGGCCAAGTATTTTTAACCTGAATCCCCAACCCCCCCTGGATCCCACTGGACATTTAACACCAGGTGCTGGACCCTGGATCACTCTGAGCCAGAGCTGTTCACACGAGCTGTGCCCTCCCCACATCCTCCTGTCCCCTCTCAAGCTGTGCAGCTGCAGAGCAGGGAGCCAACACAAGCAAAAAAAAAATGTCCTTTTAGGGCCTGATTCCTTAATTCCTGGCACTATTTGGCTACTCAAGCACTTGTGCCAGCACAGCAGCAGGAATGAGGGGTGCAAGAGGCAGGATTGCTCCTTGCAGTACCTGGACCATGTCACAATGTGCAGGAAGCCGTGGCCTCTGTGCCAGCTGCAGCCTCATTATTCTCAGACAAACAATTCCCCTCTGGCTGTATTAAAATGTATTTTATCTGAACAAGCCCCACTCACCCAACAGGCAACACTGCTCTGGCAAACACGATTTCTATGCATCATTCCACCAAAAGTAGCATAATCTGTGAATTTATTAGTTGTGCTTTCCATTTATTTTCAGATCAGGCACCAAATTATCTGATCTTCCTCACTGCAAGGCTCTATCTCTTGTGCAGGTATCTCCCTCGTGATGTAATTTGGGTTTTTGCCACATATACAACTGCAAATCCCATGGAAAAAAAGTCTGTTTAAGAATTCTCCCAGTACTTGTTTAAACAACATTAGTACCTCCTTGCTTTTAGGAAACCTTACATTTTGCATAGATATCTTCTCCTAAATCAGAGGAAAGCATGCTGTAATTTGGACAAACCATTAAACCATGAAAAATAAACAGCCACTAATTCTGAATTCTGTCAGCTTGCAGAACCACCTTGTTCCTCTCTCCCACTGGAAACCCCTCCTCACTCAAACCCCAGTGATCTCCCCAGAGCAGGGTAACCCCTCCCAGAGAGCATTTGGAAGAAAACACAGGAACCAACTGATCCTGACACCCAGCCCCATCTCCTGAAGGATCCCAGACTGGTTTGGGTTGGAAGGGACTTGAAAGATCATCTCGTTCCACCCCTGCCATGGGCAGGGACACCTTCCAATCCCAGGTTGCTCCAAACCCCGTCCAACGTGTCCTCGGACACTTCCAGGGCTGGGGCAGCCACAGCTTCTCTGGGCAACCTGTGCCTGAATTCCCTCAGAACTCACCTCTGAGGCTGGGCAAGCCTCAAATCAAAACTCTTCAAGAACACCCCCAGCAGCAAAGAATCCCTTCAGCAGAATGAGACAACCAGCTGAAATTAAACTTCAACCTGGCATTAGTTAATACAAGTTCACCCAACTGTTTCTTATTTCTCAAGCTTCCAGCAGAACTTCCCAGCCCTTGAACAAACCCACTGCTATACTGCTCACACAGGACCACGTCAAATTATTCTGCAGGTCGGAGGTGCAAAAGCTGGGAATTCCACAGCTGGGATTTTCTGTGCAATTTGATCTCTACTTCTACACACATATGCTATGATGTAACATGACTACACATCCTGTTTTTAGTGTTCTGGATGCCCTACGCTCACATATTCAGCAGTTAATAAATATTTTTGTCTTTCCCCACTGTTCATCCTGGACTAATGAAATGTTGCTCACATCTAGCTCCAAATGAGGAATTAATAATCTTCTCAGAGACAGTTCTAGATTGCTCATCCCAAAACATCCAAAGCCTTCATGAGAATGAAGTCACAACAAGAGCTGGACAAAATCCAGCATTTCTGCCTCATGGAAAATTTCAGTGTTTCCAATTGGTTTCATTGTGCTTTGAAATGAAAACACACTTTTGCAATGTCTGTAATCTCAGAATTGAAATAACGAATTTTACAGTTCTGCCAGGGGTAAAATACAACTCCCCAGGGCAGCATTCAGCTGCTGTAACACTGAGACTGGCTGTAATCACCTGCTTGCTCACTCTGTGCCTTTAACTTCCAGCAAAAAGGCTTCAAGTGAGGCAGGAATTGCATGAAAAAAAAGGATGTAAACATACAGCTGAGGACTTGCTGATAGCAATAGCCAGAGTGTTATTTAAAGCAACTTTTAAGTTAATTTCCCAAAGTTTTCTTTTAAAACACGCTGAAGCAATAAATCCTATGGTATTTTGTTACATTAAAACTGGAATGGCTCATCTGCAATGCTGGAATGTTGGGATCCATCCCCCAGATCTTTGCTCCTGGAGGTAGTGACAGATTGTCTCTGTACATGGAGAGCAGCACCAGCCGGTCTGGAAACGAACTGAAACCCTGAGAGAAAGGGGAAGGACATGGAATTCTCTGCAGAAGATCCTTTACCATTGCTGGCAACAGCAAACTGGGGCAGGGAAGGTACATTCTGCTCCACTGAGAGTTCTGGGGTCTGTTCTCTCATGGCAAGGCTTTGCCACCAGATTCCTCTGCGTCATCTGCCAGGCGTCTGTCCTTCCCCTCCTTCTGCTCCCCCCAGCTTCCTGCCACACTCTGGCTTTGCCAGCCTCATCCTCTTTCAGGAGCTAAACACCAAGAAAAAGAAAATCCTATACCTTGGGTAGGTTTTCCTGTAGAAAGCAAAACATATTCTGAGAGAAAGGGATCGCTAAGCTTTGCTTTGCATGAAAAGATTCACAGGACTTCTCACATGACAAAACTATGCAATTTTTCAGGCTCTTCAGTGCAAATTACCAAATCTCTTCACCCTGACTTCTCTCAATAAATTCCCACAAAATGGGTGCACAGCATAATGTGCAATGGAACCTGAGGACTTACGTATTGAGCAAAATCAAATTATTTCTGACATATATTATCTCTGACAACTGACAGTTGGAGCTGCTTGGGCAGACAGGGTAAGGAACAGGGATTATAAAGTCACGCTCTCCCTGGCAGAACTTTCCAGCAATCAGCTGTTCTGTGATCTGAGCAGGAGGTTTGGCTGGACCAATTAAGTCTAATTTGAAGGTGCAATTTTACCTAATCACTTCTTGGAACCCACTTGCATTTTGGCCTGTAGCAATGACTTCCACAATTTACCTGTGCACTGGCCGAGCACCTACTGCCTTTTGCTTTTTTCCAGACTTGCTAGCTGTCCACTTCTGTGCTGCTATTACTGTGTGGATTATGAAAAATATTGTTCCTATTCACTTTCTCTCAACAATTCTAGTTTCACAGAGCACCAGCAAACACAGCCTTTGCCACTTCTTTTTTTTAAGCTGAAGAGTCAGTCTCTATTTGGATGTAATTGTCTCCTTGTCACTCTTTTCTCTGCCAATTTTGTCCCTGTTTTTCAGTGTCTTTTCCTTAAGTGTTCAAGACGTGGCTGCATCACACAAACCCACGACACTGCCTTGTCCTCAGCTCCTTCCTTTACCATAATTAACATTTAATTGGCCTCACTGCTGCCGAGCACTGACTTAACCTTATCAAAAGCACATCCACAGTGACTTTAAATGTTCCCTCTGCAACACAATTATTAATTTGACACTCCTCATTCTGCACGTGTATTTACAGGCACACTCCCCTGTGTACACTCATTTAATCCCCCTTGGGATTACCCTGGGTTTAGTTCTAGTGCAGTCTTTTGCTGTGACTTTCACATTTGACTGTGCTGAATAATTCTGTACCAGTTGCTGCTTCTGTCGCCTCACTTGTCACCTCCTTTTTCCAAATCACTGCTGACTGTGCTGAACAGAACAGGTTTCAACAAAGGACTGTGGGGAATCCACCAGGAACAGCTCTGCATGGTGAAAACTATTCCTTGTGCTTTTAGGAGTTACAAGCTCAAGAGCAGCCCCTCTGTGTTCCCTCACATCAGCTTGAATTCTCCAGGTAGTTTTGGTTTAGGTCCTGTCTGAAAGATTTTCAGAAAGCTAAAAGCTGGATAATCTTGCTCCACATGCCTGTTGACTTCTCCAAAGAACTCTTAATAGATTTACAACTCTCTTAAGTCTCTGCAGTGGAGCAAGTTGGCCTGAGAAATGGCTTCCTAAATCCTTCCAAAACCTTTGATTCAGCACATCATAGGTATCTATCTCATCCTGGTACCTGACACCTCTACTCCCTATCAGATTTTCCATCAAATTAGAATTACCTTTTCTGCAGTTCTGTAGCTCTAACAAACACACACCCACCTCTTTTTAAAAGCCTGAGTCCAATCTGTCAGTGCTTATTCCTCTGCTCATGGAGCAGATTTGAGCACAGGATTACAGATCATCGTTGGAGGCTCAGCCATTTCACAGCTTCTGAAGAACATCTGAACAAAGACCACGTGGCCTCAGTGACTTGTCACTGTTCAATTTATCAGTTTGCCTAAAAGCTCTTCCTATTGACTCTCAGCAGGAAACTGTTTGTCAGACACACATTCACCCTGGAATGTTCAGCTGTGCCAAGTGAAGGCATTGCTGTCTCCACTCCTTCCCACCACCCCTCCCAGAGGTCCATGTCCAGTCACCTGGCAGTGTCCGAGTGCTTCTTAATCTGCTCCAGGAAAAAGCAGATGGGTTAAACAGCCTAATTGGCAGTTTAGGTAAATTAACCTGGCTGTTTTCCTGGAGTTAATTAGGAAACATGGAAACAAAATGCTCCATTTGCCGACTGATGGGAATGGTAACCTCTGGCAGGTGAAAGGTTTGATAAGCAGAGATGGGCAAGAGCTTAAATGAGCACAGAAGAAAGCCAAAATTCTGAAAGAAAACAAAAAAATGGGGAACACCTCTGACCTTTTCTGCAGCACCTTCATAATTTAAATTCCTCCCTGTGAGGGTGGGGAGGCCCTGGCACAGGTTGCCCAGGGAAGCTGTGGCTGCCCCTGGAAGTGTCCAAGGCCAGGCTGGACGGGGCTTGGAGCAACCTGGGCTGGTGGAAGGTGTCCCTGCCATGGCAGGGGGATGGAATGAGATGAGCTTTGAGGTCCCTTCCAACCCAAACCCTTCTGTGATTCTATGATTTAGCCAACATTCCTGGCTGGTTTTCTTACGTGCCTCTTCTACACCACGATCATATGTTGTCCCCGTTTTTACCTGCTCCAGCAGGCTTCCTGCTTCTAACAACTTTCCTGAGGCCATCATTAGTATTTATATATCTAGTGAGTAGCCCTGCTGTAGGTCTCATCTGATCTCCCTTGGTGTGACTTTGAATTTCCTATGTAGGACACACTTCAATTTTGTTGGAGTATATCTTTCTATTTTTATAAAACTCATTTTAATAATGTCTTTGATACCTCCTTCCACTGTCTTATCTACAGCATAAGTGCTCAGAGATACATCCTCATCTTGCAGGAAGGAAATAATTCCTTTAGTTTCACACCATGTACACAAGTCTCCCAGATCAGTGGTGCAGTATCCTCCTGAATCCTTCTGGCTCCAGACATCTGTCCACAATAATAAAAGGACAGAACTGGAGCTATAATCAGGCCACTAAGGCAGAGCAGTGTAGGTAAGGTGTTGTCACCTGCAGCTACAGCACAGGCTTGTCACTGCCTTCAGGAGAACTTTTTCCTCCTGTCTCTGGACTCCTGATTCATCTCTCTGAAATTCTGTGTTCCCACTCTCACCTACCTTCTCAAGGGTCAATAAGTGGCGACACACTCCTTGGCTTCAAGCTTTGCCTTGGGGAAACTCCAAAGTCCTCCTGCCACAAGTACCCTGCCCTGCAGCACATTGCACATACCTACTTCTGCCCAGGGCTGGCTCTCTTCTTGCCCTGAGGGGATGCCTGAGGATGAATTCTCTGCTGTGGCCTCTGGAATTGCTTTCTGCAGGAACTGGGACCCCAACTGCTCACTGGGACAGCTGGTTGAGGCTTCAGTCACCACTGTAACACAGAGCACAGAAACTGTCTGCTTTAGGCGACAACACCGGATCTACTTAGTGTCCTTCTCACAGCCAAGAAGGAGGAGAGTTCATGGAGAGGAATTCAGGGCGGAAAACAAAGGTAAGGGATTAACAAAAGGATAAACAAAGTGGGATTGCATCAAATCGTTAAGAAGCAGAGGTTCCCCCGACAGATACCAGTTCTCACTCCTCCCAGAGAGCCTGAAATCTGTCAGCCTCTCCCAGCTCCCTCTGAGCCTTAGTTAACACACCACGAGGCACAAACCCTACCCGGCTGCCTCCCACGACCCCCCCGGGCCGGAGCTGACCTGTGTGCTGGGGGGGCAGCGGGGACAGCCAGGGACACCTCCGCTCCCTCCGGGCGTCCGGCAGCGACCTCAGCCACGCCACCTGCCTGACGAGCTGCAGGAGCAGCGCGCCCAGCGCTCCCTGCACAGAACCACACACAGAATCACGGAAAACAGCCCCGATCCCTCTTCCCGGCCCGCTCCCACCCAGCCCCTCGTTCCCGGCTCTGTTTCGGGGCTCCCACCCCCGGGGTGTCCCCGGCAGGGCCAGGGCGCGCTCCTCACCCAGGTGACAGCCTCCAGCACGGAGTAGCGGGGCACCAGGCGGGGCAGCGGCTGCCGCCTCTCTCCTCGCTCCGGGCCATCCTCACACGCGGGCGCCCTGGAACAACCACAAACACGGGCCCCGTGAGGCCGGGCCGCGGCGCGGGGCCCCCCAGCCGCGGGCAGGGCGCGCACTCACCGCTCGGGGCTGTGCCCGCGGCCCTGGCCCAGCCCGGGGGCGCAGGCGGGCCGGGCGGGGGTCGGCCCGCAGCGGCCCCAGCTTCGGCCCAGCAGCAGCCGCCACATCGCGCCCGCCGCCCCGCCGAGGGCATAAAGACCGGGGAGCGACCGGGGGGACGGCGCGGGGGGCTACGGGGAGCGCGGGGGCCGCGCGGGGCCGAGCGGCGGGTGAGGGCGGCGGGACCGCGGCAGGGCCCCGGGCGGCGGGCGGGCACAGAGCGGGGCCAGAGCGGCCCCGCCGCCATGGCGGGCACACAGCGCCCCCCGCCCCCGGGAGGCCCGCGCTGAGGGGCCGTGAGGGCGCGGCCGGAGCGGGCCCTGAGGGCGGCTGCCGTGGTCTTGCAAAATGTGGACTATTAAAAAGAAATTCTTAAGAAATTGTATTCTTTCGTGTTTGGTCTTTGTTTGCTTTCAAGCCTGCTGAGCAAGAAGGGAGATTTAACCCTTAAAACGGCAGCCAGCAAGCTCTAAGAGATGCCCAGGTGTTCGAAAAACAAATTCCTTGTTGGTAGAGTTGCCTTGTGAATGGTGCTGGCATCTCAAAAGTCAGAAACAGTTAACAATTTGCCCAGAGTGTTACAGGGGGTCAGAAGGGGGTTTGTGAAACAGGGTCTTGCCGTATTGCTTCAAAATATGGAATGTTAAAAAATTTTCTTAAGAAAGGCTGGGCTGTTCTTTGGTGTTTGATCTTAGTGTACTTTCAAGCCTTATCAAGAAGGGACATTTAGTCTGCAAAACATAGAGCAGCTCACAAGCTCGAAGTGATGTCCAAGTGTTAGAAGTACAAATGACTTGATGGTGGAATTGCCCTGTTAAGGTTTGGGGTTTGACATGTTTCAATGGTCTCAGGCCTAAGAGAGGTTAACAAAGCCTGGGAAGAAGGATGTACCACTGAAAATGGACACAAAGGATGCAGAATTTGCAGGCTACAAGGACATCTGGCAGAACCCCCAAGATAAGGGAGAAATTAATAAAGACAACTCAGTGATTGTGCTGAATCAGCTCCGATTGGGTTAGAGGTAATTCTGGGGGGGACATTGTGACTACCATCTCATGGCCACCAACCCCCAGAAACCCACTCAAACAAAAGAAAAGGAAGACTGAGCATGTGGACTAATTACAATGAGAAGTGAGAGAATCGTTAACCAATAAAAAATAGAACCGTTAATAAGAGAACTATGCAACTTGTAGCCAATAACCACGAATGCCTGTGTTTGCTAAAATATATAAATAGTGAAAAGTTTTGGTAGTGGTGGGACAACAGCAGGGAAGGTCCCTAGGGATCTGCTGTAGCTCAGGGTGGGGGGATAACAACCCCATGGAAAGCACAAGCAGGGACACACAGCCCTTCCAGCCAGCTGGACCCAGGTTGTACCTGCAGCTTTGGGGTGTCTCTGAAGGCACCCTGAGCCCAGAGATGAGCCCTGCCTTAAATATAGGGACCACATTAGTAGTGTGAAGTGCTGAAGGATTCCTGAACCTGTGATTATAAACCAAATAGACTGTGTCTTTTCCTACAAAGTTGATCGAGGGACTGGAGCAGCTCTGGGAGCAGCAAAGGCTGAGGGAGCTGGGGCTGTTCAGCCTCCAGAGCAGAGCCTGAGAGGGGCCCTCCCCAGGGTGTGTCAGGGGCTGCAGGGAGGGGGCAGAGGCTGGAGCAGGCTCTGCTCGGGGGGCCCAGCAATGGCCCAAGAGGAACGGGCAGGAACTGATACCCGGGAAGTTGCAGCTGGACAGGAGGAAGAACTTCTTTGCTGGGCAGTGACCCAGCCCTGGAGAGAGAGCAGAGAGGGTGTGGAGTCTCCTGTCTGGAGATCTTGCAGAGCTGTGTGGACACAATCCTGTGCCATGTGCTGTGGGATGGCCCTGCTGGGCAGGGAGGTGGGACCAGATGAGCCACTGTGGGCCCTTCCACCCTGACCCACCCTGACCTGACTCCTCACCCACTGTGCACCTGCAGAGCAGGGAGGTGTTTGGGTGCTCCACTCGAGTCGGACAAGGGAAGATTGCAACACAAGAAAGTCGTCTCAGGTGTGATCAGAAACTCCATCAGTTGCTCATCCTGTAATCAGGGACATGGGTATAAATGCAAACCATTTGTTTCAGTTGTGAATGGAAAAGTGCAATAAATGCATTAAGGCGTGGGTATGGTTTGGGTTGTGTGTGGATCTCCCCCCACCTCTGGTCCCATTCAGCCTGCCTTTGTGGCTGATGGTGCTCACAGGGGCTCCCTTGATTTATATGTGCTGTGTTTGTTCCAGCAGTGTTGCAACAGGAGATGGCAGAGTTCCCAACGGAGACCGTGCCATGCTAGCGGGAGGAAAAATCAGCTTTATGTTGTCTTTCCCTGGTGGTTTCTTTCAGCAGTAGGAATATTGCCGTGCTCATTCCAGCTGAACACTCCACTTTCTTGTTTATTTCTTTGTTCCAGAGGCACAGAAATTCTTGGTCTTTCGCTTTTCAAGCCATCTGTGCTGGTAATTCCTGTTATGAACTCAGGGTTCTTGTTCAGTTTTATCTGTGGTTTATGCTTCAATAGCTGCAAGTTTAGCTTCAAGTGTGGCTTTCCCAGAGATCCATAATCACTCTCCTTCATCAGCCTAAACACCTGCTTTAGACTACCAAGTTTCTCTAGGTTTTCCACAGCTTTTATTATTTTTTTTTTGGTAATGTTATATGAGACACAAATCCTTTATCCTTTTCACCTCAGATTTGGCTTAATAGTGTAATTACAAAGTAATTTAGTTGCCTGTTTTACTAAATGTGTCTGTAATTGTCTCATGTTAGTAGACCGGTGTTTGCTAAACTACTACAGTTTGTTTGGGGATGAAAATTACATGCAAAATAGAAATATCAGCATCTCCACTATATAATCTTGCCTTAATTTTCTCGCTCATCAGGTTGATACCATTAATTAATGCTCCAAAATCTGAACCTGCATTTGCTGGTATTGGTTCTTCCAAGATCTGCTCAGCTAATCACTGTATTTTTAAGGCTGTTAGTCCTAGTTTCCTTTCAAGTCCCCAACCAGTTGATGAGTGATGCTCTCTGTCTTTTCTGCAACTAGCAAGGCAACAACGGAGCTGATCTGTTTGGATTTACATTGTGAGGATTCCACAGGAGCTGCACACTGTCCGTGGTGCAGTGGTGTGTTTGTGTCTGACACTGCAGAAGGGAAAATCTTCAGAAGAAGATGAAATGGGGATGCTGAGGGATGAGGAAGCAGCTCTGTGGAGAAGGACCTGTGGGTCCTGGGGGACAACCAGCTGTCCCTGCCCAGCCGTGTGTCCTGGGGGCCAAGGAGGCCAATGGGATCCTGGGGGCATCAGGAAGAGCCTTGGAGCAGGGCAGGGAGGGGATCCTGCCCCTCTGCCCAGCCCTGGGCAGGCACATCTGCAGGGCTGGGCCCAGCTCGGGCTCCTCAGCACAGCAGGGCCAGGGAGCTCCTGCAGCGGGGCCAGCGCAGGCTGCCGAGATGCCCAAGGGATGGAGCAGCTCTGGGAGCAGCAAAGGCTGAGGGAGCTGGGGCTGTTCAGCCTCCAGAGCAGAGCCTGAGAGGGGCCCTCCCCAGGGTGTGTCAGGGGCTGCAGGGAGGGGGCAGAGGCTGGAGCAGGCTCTGCTCGGGGGGCCCAGCAATGGCCCAAGAGGAACGGGCAGGAACTGATGCCCGGGAAGTTGCAGCTGGACAGGAGGAAGAACTTTGCTGGGCAGTGACCCAGCCCTGGAGAGAGAGCAGAGAGGGTGTGGAGTCTCCTCGCTTGAGACCTGTCTGGACACAATCCTGTGCCATGTGCTCTGGGACTGATCAGGGAGGTGGGACAGGCGATCCACTGTGGGCCCTTCCAGCTTGAACCATTCTAGAATCCTGTGATTCTGTGAAGGGAACTGTCACAGCAAGACAAAGCTGAGATGGCAAAGCCCAGAGGTATCAGCTGCTGTGGAGTAACGTGGGTAAAGGAGTAAATGTTGAAGAGAGAGTGGCTCAAGCTAAAGCAGGAGGCTGGTCAGTGAGGGCTGCTGTGGGGTCTGACCAGCTCAGCTGGTTTGTGTCCTTGCAGAGTGGGAAGGACACTGAGAAGGAAGAGGTGACAAGCCATGAGGAATTGCTGCAGGTGCAGAGTGTGTCAGTGCAGCTTTTCTGGGTGCTGATGGTGGGATTTTGTTCCATGCACCCAAGGGTGCTGGGGGAAGTGGCTGATGCCACAATAATCAGGAGAAGATTCTGCTGACTGAAAGAGGGCAAACACCAGACACTTATTCAAGAATTCTTCCTTGGGAGGGTGATGAGGCCCTGGCACAGGTTGCCCAGAGAAGCTGTGGCTGTCCTATTGCTGGAAGTGTCCAAGGCCAGGTTGGAGCTACCTGGGCTGGTGGAAGGTGTCCCTGCCCATGGCAGGGGGGTGGGATGAGATGATCTTTAAGGTTCCTTCCAACCCAAACCATTCTGTGATTCTATAAGAAGGGTAAGAAGAAAGATTGGGCAACTCTATGCCACTTGATATAGCCTGGCTCTCTGGAAGGTGATGGTGCATCTTCTCCTGGAAACTATTTTAAGCAAGAGCTGTTTTGGAACAGCCACAATGGCTTTGACAAGGACAATCTGCTTAAACAACCTGATGATGAAACTGGCTCAGAGAACAAGGGGAGACATGTGAATGGTGTTTACCTTGAATCTACCAAGACTTTGACACGGGCACTCATAGTGTCATCTTACCAGCCTGGTGGGTGAGGTATGGATTGGGTAAATGGGCTATAAATTGGATGGAAAATGGCCTGGATTGTTGGACTCAGATGGTGGTGATCCATGGCTGAGCACAGTGAGTGTACCAGAAGAGGCTGAGAAAACTCTATTTGTTACCACGGTAATTTTAGGGAAATAAGTACTTTGCTCCTTAGGGAAATAAATACAGTGCTCCTTAAGAAATATGTTTATTTTGGTTGGAAGAGGAAACCAGGCTTGTTGTAGAAAGCAAGTTAAAAATAGACATCAAAGTTCTAGAAGGTTATATACATTCTATGGTCTTTTAAAAACCTTGCAATTGAAAGCACTCTTTCAGTCACTGGTT